TTTGCGGAGAGGGGCGTCGCCCTCATCAGCGCGTTCTGCGGCGCCATCACGCGCGACGAGGAACAGCGACAGCACCTTCTGCAGGTCGTGGAGCGACACCGGGCGTTGCACCCGTGCGCGAAGTAGGCATGGGATGGCACGCACGGCGGATTTCGTTTTTTTTTTGCGGTCTAACAGTGTCACTAGTGTTGATGGACATTATAGACAGATGGACAGATAGACAGATGGACCAGTTAACATGGACCAACAATCTCACCAGTGTTGAAGGATAACCACGGTTGCCTTTTTTGCAATACATGCGTTCCTGTCTTCCGTCTTTGAATTATTGCAAGTGCGAACTGAGCAAAACAAAATCCTTACTGTATGGGAGAAACCGTACTACCATTCAGCCCCGTAACATTCTTTCCATAGGGGAAACTTTGGTCGCTCTGCGGGACGGGATAAAATTATCCGATCGGAATAAAATTTTGCACACATCCTTGTGTCATAGTATCGACAAGATTTCCGACCCGGCCCGACGAATCCGACAAACTTTTCCAAAATGGACCACCCTAATGTACATGTACCTATACTGGGGGGTCACTACTTCGCGGATTTTCATATATCGCGGGTGGTTTTGGTCCGCATTAACCATGATAAACGAGGGATTACTGTATGTCAATGGCATCTAGTATAGTTTGTTAGAATTTAGTCACACAGACTGAAGCTAGCGTCACAGTGGATGATTGGTTAGCATGTCTGCCTGACAGTGCAGAAGTCCAGGGTTTGACTCCGGGCCCCAGCCTTCCTGTGTGGAGTTTGCATGTTCTCCCTGTGCCCGTGTGGGTTTTCTCCGAATACTCCGGTTTCCTCCCACATTCCAAAACCACGCACAGTACATTAATTGAACACACTAGATTAGGGGTGTCAAACTCATTTTCGTCGCAGGCCAATTGGGAGTTACGTCTTCCCTCAGAGGGCCGTTATGAGACTGAAACCACAAAATAATTACTTGTACACAACAAATGAATAGATTATTAGTTTTGAAATCAGTCAAGTCACTTCTAATAGTTTGTTCAATTATTGTACAAGTGAGTGTAAACTGGGTTACAAAAAATCTCAATGTTATTTATTACACATGACAATTTGACATTTCAGTACAGATTTTAGCAAGTTGACACACATGATTTGCTTTTGCAGGTCACATTAAATGACCTGGCGGGCCAGATCTGGCCCCCGGGCCTTGGGTTTGACACCAGTGCTCTAGATTGTCCCTAGGTGTGATTGTGAACGCGAATGGTTGTTTGTCTATGTGTGCCCAGCAATTGGCTGGCAACCAGTTCAGGGTGAACCTCGCCTACTCTCCGTTGACAGCTGGGATAGGCTCCAGCAAGCCTTGCGACCCTCGTGAGGCTAAAGCGGTTCAGAAAATGGATGGATGGATATATTTAAGCTATGTGGTTGTTGTAAATACACAATGTAAACATTCTTAGATTTATGTTTACTTTGACAGTAAGCTTCATCTGGGAGTGGCATTAAATAGCTGGAAACCGCTTAATGATGAATTGTTGACTATTTGGCAAACTGACGTTGTTGTCTCAAGTTTGTGCTCTCGCGTCAAAACAAAAAGTTGACCTAACGACTATCGCGAAAAACTCCCGAGTCGATCCCTCATATCTCAAGGCACCACTGTATTTACAGTTTCAGTCCTACCAAATGCTGACACGTCTTTAGGCAATGATATTAAAAGTCCTTCTTAAAAAAAACAAAAAAAAAAACAAAACAAGGACAAAAATGCACAGAGAAGACAAAAAGCCTTCATTTCATCGACATCCCATAGCGTCGTCCCTTCACAGTCCTGTAACTGGCATTGAGTGAGACCATCTCCATGGCAACAAACAGCATAGGTCCTTCAGTGTCCATGCAGTGACGCCAGTGTAGCTGCTAGCTCGTTAACAACACACAATCAGCCTGCCGACTCCACTGAGGATGTGTTAGGGGGAAATACCTTGTACAATTCGGTGCGATATGGACACAATCTAAGAACAATCAAAAAGGAAGTCAAATTGCAGTCAAGAACCAAGTCAAATACTCAGTCAAGATGCAGTCAAAAACAACCAACAAAAGGTTTTGATCGAAGAAAATAATAAATAAACAAGAATAGTCCAGAACAAAGCTAGCAGTTAGCTAAAGGAATAAAAAAGTCTTTTTTTTTTGGGACCTGGTTCTTGTCTGTTTTTGAATTGTTCTTTTTTTTGACCTGACAGTGCATCCACTTGCATTTTGACTGGTATTGACTTGGTTGTGGCTGCATTTTCATGATTTTTACCATTTATATTTTTCTTTCCTTTTGACTGTTTTTAAGTTCTTTTTTTTTAAATCTGGTTCTGGACGTGGTTCTACTAGTTGTAAACCGGTGTGCCTTTTACAAGCATCTATTTCTTCACGGTTGACAACATCTTGCATAGGAAGTGCCACCACAGATGTGCTAGCAGAATGGCTGTTGGTTGGCCAACGCGCCCGCGATGGGAGCCACGGCGAGGTAGTTGGAGGGCACGTAGCCCCTCTGTCGGCCTCGCACCTCCACCAGGCTCCACTCGCGGTTGCCCCGCTTGTCGTGAGGCTCAAGTACGCGCACCGGCTCTCCTGCCGCCACAGAAACTTCGTGGTTCCCTCGTGCCGTGAAACCATAAGCCGCAAACACCTGTAGGCACACCAGGCACATGAAAAAAATGTGTATAGCATATGTCACTGTAAATTAGAGATGCCAATCTTTTTTTTTTTTTTTTTTTACTGTTTTGGGCTTTATTTGTTTATTTTTAACTTTTTTTTTTTTTTGTTTAAACCATTGTTAGCTAATTATTAACCATTTTGTTACTTGTTTTTGACGATTGGAGTGTTCTTGGTTTTTGACTGGTTTGTGATTTTTAAAAAAAAAAATGCTGTTCTTGTATTTATTTTAAGGTTCCATGCCATCGAATTCTATTTTTTCCACAAGTCTGTGACATGGTTAAAGTTTGTCATGGATGGATGGATCTACTGGATGTGGTTCGTCATTCTCATGTAATAGCCTTTGAAAGGCAAAGGGCATGCTTGGACAAGTGGATTTGAACTCGGCGGCGTCGTGACATATATTTGACACTCATTACTCGAGCACCGGCCCACTTGGTGGTTGCTAAACACCCACTCAGCTCAGGAAAAATGGCAGTGTCTTGTGCAAAGCTAAACCTTTGGATCAGATGCCATACCTCTCAGAACACACCGGGTCTCAGAGTTGTGCACGGGCGTCAGAGTGAATAAAATAGTCAGAATCGGACTAAGTACAATATGAATGGAATATGGCAGAAAAATGAGCCCACTATTTACTGGGGAATGTCGTATTGGCATATTAGTGTGCTCCAGACCGGACTTGTGGGAATGTGTTTAACTGAGCTGGACAGAGGTCAAACGGCTGCTGAACAAGCCTTCTTTGACGTCAGGTTAACGTTTCAGATCAACAGGGATCTTACTTTAACCCTTGTAATCTGATAACATGCTGATTTGAACTCTTTTTAATTGTTTTTGTCTTCTTTTTACACACACATGCACACAAGCACTGCTAATCTCATGATCAGTTCGCCAATGACACAGTGTCCTTGCAATTTAGTCGCCATCTCGGTATTAAAAAGTCTGGCAGCGATGATGTCATCGAGTAGCATGGAATTAGCATTTTGCTGAGTGGCTGTCTGCACTCTTGCCAAGAGCTCGAAACAAATGTTACTTTCTCCCTGACATGTTGGCAGGAAAGTGAGGCTATATCAAAAACGAACTCTTCATCGTCATTATCACTGTCAAGTGGCCTTCAATTACGAATGTCTTTAATAGGATGAGGCTCAGGGACACCTGGAAGAGGTCACCTGAACCTTCAGTCATTTTGACAGGCGATCAGGAAGTGCACTGTATTATTTACACACACACACACACACACACACACACACACACACACACACACACACACACACACACACACACACACACAGCAGTGTGCACTATACTATTACAAGTGATGAAATTGCGCTTATACGATCACCCTATTCTCTCTTGCTAATTTGCATGCTCACATGAAACAATCACACACATTTACAAACCTTGACATTGCCAACTCACATGTACTGTTTTAATAGCGAAAATCAGTAACACACACATGTACTTGTCACGAAACATGTGCATGTGTGGTCATGTGACATCTTGATGCACTGCTGCAGCACCACACGGTGAGATCACATCAATCAATCGCTCGCGCGCACACACACACACACACACACACACACACACACACACACCAACACCA